TCAGGTTTTTGAAACATCAGTCTCTGCTACTGCTCTACTGGAGCGATTAGATAACATGACTAATTAGTTTTTCTCGAACTCGTCGGGAAAAAAACTCTGTTCAGCCCCAAGAAAAAATACCTCTAACGTCTCTTGGGCAAATGATGTCTTTATCACAGACTTTGTTGCAAGTCCCCAGTGTGTATTTCCATTTCTCTTTACCGGCTCAAGTTTAATATAAGACACAAGAAATATAAGGAAAACGAAAGAGAAAAAAGTTCATAAGTACCTGATGATACTGTTGTTATAAACCATGGCCTCGACCTCTCACCCTGTCCCAGGTCATTCCACGCCGACACTTCAATTATGTACTGCTTGCCATATTCTAACGACACTGTATGGCTAGTCTTGGTAACATTAGTAACGTTGACTTGGTACCAGGACTCCCCTAATCCTCGCGGTTGAATCAGTCGTAAGTGTAGTGAGTACATGGTCAGCGGACACCCACTCCCTGTTGGAGGACTCCAGGAGACGGTGACGTTGTTACTTAATATTTCTTGTTTTGTAGTGGTTATAATGGGAGGTAAAGGAATGTCTGCAAAAAATCATGAAATAGTTTTTGTGACCTTTGCAGGGAATACTGGCAAGACAGTTCTTTGAGACATAAAAGTGTTACACACTTACAATTGGTTAATGGATCGATAATCGAAGAGTGTTCATTAAAAATAAAACATTTATTCTCTCGCGCTTTCGAAACCGCTCGAAATGAGAGTATTTTTTTTGTGTGTGGAAATGTTATTCAATCCAGTCAAAGCCCTTTTACTTAATAAGAATCTTTTAAAAGATTTAAAAATCTTAGTCACTCGTTTTCAGTAGTCCTTTTCTTTACGGTACATTTCCTAATACAGTTTTACAACTACAGTGGTATTAGCTACTTTAAGTTTCACTTTGTTAGGGTTATTACCTCCAGTGGTTTGAAAATTCCAAACTTTGCTGTCTTTGAATGGACTCTCCCCTGATTCACTGATTGACGTAACAGACACCTCATATTCTTTTCTGCAACTCAAATGAAGCGTGAATCTTGTGTGACTTCCGTGCAACTCTATCGAGTTCCAGCTGCTTTGTTGTCGTGCTGAGGACATAACCTCTCTGTAATACACTTTGTAGTTGACAACGGGACATGCTCCTTCAAAGGGAGGTTCCCACACCACAAGGACGTCCCCCCCTGATACACTCTTGGTCTTGTTGACGATAAGCGGAACTCCTAAACAATCATTTGGCGATTGATTAATACATATCCAAGTTCTGCAACAAGCTCAAGGGATGCAGGTACGGGGCGGGGAGGGGGAGGGAGGAGGACAATATGGACGGTGTTATTCATCTCTACTCTATTTTACTATCCTTACTGATGAACAGCCGGTTTTATTTTCTTAATCAGTGGAACTCACCTCTCAGTTTACTGACTTGTTCCAGTGACAGTGCCGAGCCAAACACATAAAGATCCATCACTGATCCATAGAATTGGTGATTATCCCAGTGTCCGTCATCACCGATCTGGTACCAATTTCCTGTTGGCTTGTAAAACCTATCACCTGTGGTAAATGAGTTCGCGCCCACTTCTGACCCATTAGCAAATATCGACACAGCGGTATTTTCATGATTCCATATAACAACAACATGGGTCCAAGCGTCGAAAGAAACATCAGCACTTCCTGCAGACCACCATTCATTTTCTTCATCTTTGTGGCGACTGAAGATGATCTGTCGATTTTTAAGACTTAGCAAAAAATTCCATGGACGACGCCAGTCACCGTATATTGCTGCAGTCTTATCAAGAACGCTTTTCGTTTGTTTAATCCAACAGGCAATAGTAAAACTCCGGCCTCCAAGATTTATCAAAGGTACGCTGGCATAGGAACTCGTTTTGTTAAAAGTAATAGCTTTACTGCTGGAACATCGACCCTCGGTGAAAGAAGGTGAACCAGATAAACTGTAATTGAAGCGAAAAAGCGTGATATTTATACAATCCCTTTGAAATCGAAGGACGGTCTTAAATTATGAAAAGAAATACCTCTCTCAGGTACCTAACTTACCACACTGTTATAAATATGGCAGCCTATGAAGAATGAAATCATACAGTTTTCCATTGTTTAGTCAGGTATGTTACTGTTACATCCGCATGGGGTAATATTCAAATTAAGAAAAGTCTTGAAATACCTCACATTCACATCTTGACCGCCTAGAAGCCAGTGACCTAGAACAACCCTATCTGCAAAATAGGAAAAAATTTATAGTTAGGTACTTTTTAGTCAAACCCAACAGAAACCATGTGATTGTTTGGTCTGTTCGTCTGGTATTGTGTAGAATCCTAACTTTACTTCGTAAATTAACGATAACAAACACCTTGCGCCATAATTTTGCAGCAGGTCAGTGTCTCAATGCAGTGTAAAAAATTACACCCTCCTCTGTACACGCCAGCCATATGGTACCAGTCTCCACACGTGCTCCAGCCCTCTTTATCAAGTTTTATCCCCACATCTTGAAGGTAGCATTCTTTGGTCCGGCTTATGTAGTTCTTTGGCCTGCAACACCAAGCTTGCTCGATGTTGTTTAACAAAGTTTTATTTGAATAATAAAATCCCCGTAGAAAATAGCCTTCAGGACAGGAAGCCCACTTGTGATTTCTGGATTACAAACAAAAAAATTATGAGAATTAAATATTCGTAATCATTTCCTCCTTGGGCGTTAGCCTGAGATTTTTCATCGTCATGTCGCCACTCAAAGCTCCCCGAGACCGCCAATTTTCAACGCTTCATGATAAATCTATTTCTAAGTTTAAGGAAACGAGGTATTTTTATCACCTCGGTCCTGAATGGATAATAGAGAAAACGATACGCATAAAATAGTGGCAAACTGTAAAAATTAATGCGAGGAAACTCGAGTGATCAGGGTACGAGTTTAGCACTGCATGTTATGGGTTTTCCAGACCAAAAATAGGGCACAGTAGGGCACAATCCACGGTTACTTTCGGCACTCTAAGGAAAGTCTCCCTTTCGTGGTTATTTCTGTAATCATGATCATTCAATTTAGGATGAACGGATAAAACTAACGGCGGCAGGTAGGATGACTGTGACATTGTGCCCACTTTGACGACGAAAAGGAAACATTCGAGATGATATCAATAATGATTTCAAGTTACTCGTGAACTGCACAAGGAAGATCTGAGAAAGGACAAAGGAAGTAAGATAACAGAGATCAAATTCAGAATTTTTTGGTTTCTCTTTCCAACAGCTCATCTTTCTCATATTGTCATCCTCAAGAGGGCCGAGGGATTGACAACATGAAATTCTTAAGCAAATTAGGCTGTTTTACCGGCGTAGAGCACTCAGTGATTTGCCACAGCTACGATTGAGAAAGTTTAACGCGCAATGAGACGAAAGGAGAAGAGATTAACACCTTGCCTACATCTGCAAATGTCTCGCTCTGTTGTGCAAGAGAGTCAACCCTAAAATCTACACCTACACATACTTGCTTAATCGCGTTTTCCAGTTTACTGTTTTACACTCAGTATCCTGGTCAAGAAACTCATGAGGTGGAGTGCAACATTTCCCTGCTTTGATATTGTCGATACCGTCGGGATTGGTGATATGCGCCCTCGAAACTCCTCTGAGGTACTTTCCCAGTGGGCAGCTCGCCCATCCTGCGCTGCCTAGAGAGATATTCCAGTCTACTTCAATGCAGTCGCTGTAAGCTGTGAGCGATAGAAAGCATTAATCAACTTCCGTTATCAACTCTACTGCTTACCAAACACTCAACTTTAACTGACCCAAGAAAGTACCACTGGTTGGGATGAAAGCCATACGTTCTCATAAAGCTGTCAGGTCGATTGCCAGAGTTAAGACGTTACCTTACATTTTCCCACTCAGAAATCGATTACTGGCGGTCGTGTTAACTATCTGGAAAATGTGGCTAAAGCTATCCAATGGAAAAACCGTGAGCTCAGGGGTGGGGAAGTGAAGTAGACAGGTTGTGAGCAAATTGCCTGCCTGGTCTACATTTATCTTATAAAAAGGGAACTTGCTTACCTGATACGGAAACGATGAATCCTGAACAAGTCTACAGATGAAAAAGCAAGAGGTATTCAAGCAAATTACGCCACAATTTACTGAGTTGGCTACTAGATTAGAATAGATGCTTTGATTTTATTTTTGCGCATATTCCACTCTGAAACTTGAAGGTTTTCTGGGGTTTTTGTCCGAACATCTTAGATACGAAAAAATTAGTGAATAAAGATATCGTACTAGACATTGTGGTGTGAAGTTTCACTGATTTGGGCCGAGTTGTTCAAAGCTGGGCTAAGATAACTCAGGATTGGTGTGAAATCTGATTTGAGATCTGAAAGCTTTAAAGTAAAATTCAAAATACTAATTGACTATTATATGCTCTAAGAGAAAATAATCCGAAAAAGGCTTTTGAACAAAGAATTAAAGAAACCTAGTTGAAATTTAAGCCTGGGTTAGCCCCAATCAGCCTTCAAGAGACTGTACCTGCAGTTCATTAGTGCTTTTTGCGCACCCTGATTGGCTGGTTCGGAAATGACAAAAACAATTTTAGGGAGTAACCGAAAATTCGATCATTTTCGGTATAACGACAGATATTATTTTTGGATCTTCGGGGTACATACTAAAACAGCCATTCACCTCGGTTTCGGTGAACGCGGTAGAATTTTTTCTCGACAAAATTGTAAAGAAGTCGTTTTTGACTTACCGGCTGGTAACGTTAGCGGGCTCAAGAGAGAAAGAATCAAAATTTGCCAAGTCCTGTATAAAGCTTAAATAGCTAAGTTTAAAGACTATCGGCAGATCCGTCATGCATCCTTACTTAGCAGAACAACTCAAAACAAAAAAAAAACCTTAATTCATCCGGTATATTTCGTGAGGTCACAATTGGTAGGAGGAGAATTTGATATATATTATCATTTGATTTATATTTATATTAGGGCGACCCCTGAATTATTTTGGGAAATACCATCTTTTCTTTTTCTTCGATAAGAACGTCTAATTTTGGGGGTGCGATTGAACGTTCTTCTTTTTTTGCGATTTGAGCCTGAAAACCTTCTTAACATGTTCTTCAAGTTGTGTGGTATAGTTTCTCAATAAACTCGATTAGCTCCACTACAAACTGAGTTGTTCCTGTGTATCGTGAAATAAGAAAACGACATTGTTAATCACATTTTAATTGAACATTTTTAAGTTAAAAAAATGTCCCCAAGTATTTGATTTCATTTTCCCGCTAGATTATAGTCTTACATTTCTTTTACGTCTATTTATACTTCTCCCCCCAAAAAAAAAGAAATAAAAAATGCGCAAAATAAACACATAACCAGCGCTGGAGTCACGCACATCACCTCATCTTTCGTTAATTTGCTATATCTGCGTTTCGTTGTGATGAAAACCGAAAATATCAGTCCTGCCGAACCAACTGTTTTACTCGTTTAAAAAAAGATAAGAAAACAAAACAAAAAAACAAAAAAATCTTCGAGAGTCTAACAAAGTATAGTATACCGGATTTTCTCTTGTTTGAAAGAACATCACAGAAGAGATTTCAGTCTCTCTACAATAATTTTACGTCCGGTCATCAGTTTCGCTTCCTTACAAAAGAAATTCAAATACGCAAGTTAAAAGTGGCTCAGTGATTTTCAGAAAAAAAACAATTCTGTGGTCATCTTTTTTTACAAACAAGAAAAGAAAATTAGAAAAACACTGCCCAAAATATTATCTCGAATTCTAATCAACCCTGTATGCTATTGCAATTTACCACGAAATTTCTTCTTTGTACCCGGAAAAGATCTAATTCTCGCCTCTTCCATAAAAAGCTTAATGTCGTACTGAGCGAACGCCTAATTTGGGTTAAGAAAGATAGGGAAATAGTTTTTCATGTTACTGGGGAAAACTTTGGAACGTGCCTTTATTTGTTCAGTTGGCTGGCTAAAATACATAAGTGTTTTGAAATCGTGTTAAAGGTCAACTGAACGTACCATCACGATGACGGGCACCCAGAGGGACCCCATAATAATAATTTACGACNGATGAATCTGAAACTCGGTTTGGTTCACAGCCACAGCGAAGAATTCACCGATATTTTGTAAACATCCACGTCGAGGCTACGCATATTTGCTTCAATAACGCAACTTCAAAATTAGTATTTTGTAGACAGGATTAGTGGCGAAGTAGGGTAAAGATACACCATTCCAAAACGATTCACAACTGTGCGGGTGACATAATTATTAACATTTTCGTCTTAATGAAAAACCGAAGAAGAATTTAACTTCAACTTTCATCAGCTTTACATTGACTGAATGACGAACAGGTCATTGGAAATACGAAAACTGTTAACTCGAGGATACGGTGTTTTCTTCCCAAGACACAAAAGTCTAATAACCATTAAACACATGTGAAAATGTAAGGCACCTTGAAAAAAAATTAAGCATCAAATGTTATTCATTGACCAGGTTTTATTCTTCTTGAGAAAAAAGAAACAAAATCCATTTTATCTCCCGTTTGACTTCAAATGGATGAGGCAAAAGATCACTGAAACAGGCGCTGGGTGAGAATACAGGAACACACTCTTAAGTAAGTCTGCTAATTTTCAAAAGGAAATCTGTCATCATGATCAGGTGTACCATCATGGTGACGTAAAGAGCATCATACAAGAAGGGTTTTCTTTTTTTCTCCAAGGTTATACACAGACTGAAAGGAAAATCACAATCTTTTCAATGCGGAGGTATTTATAAGGTTGTTTTTGGCAACACAAACTGTCATAAAAGCTGGACTTCAAAGGTTAAATGTAGCTTGTTAACACAAAAACTCCCCCAAAAAACTAATATTGATACTTCTGTGAGAGATTTCAAATGTGAATAAGTACAATGAATTGTCTCCATAATGGACATTTATGAACATTGCATGTGAAATAAGGCTTGATAAGTGATTAGTGTTGGAACCGTCGTTTTGAGGCAGGCTGTGAGCACGCAATCTCTGCCTGTTCCATTTTTCTGGTGTAATTTCATTAAACAAATTTCTCTGCCTCATTTCAAACGAAAAGTCTGATATTTTCTTTTTTTCAAAGATTTCTCTTTCAAATGTTCCAGGGTTGGAGAGGGTTGGATCTGAAGTCTCCTCTACTAACTATGATCTGAAACACCACTTCCCTTAGCCGAACTAGTGTTTACACTCAATTGCTTTTCATTCGGGGACAACTATTTCAAACAAACTAATGGCGTTGCCATGGGCACCAAAATAGGACCCAGCTATGACAATCTCTTTGTAGGTTTTGTCGAACACCAATTTTTCAGCCAATACAACGGCCCCAAACCGGAACTCTACAGTCGCTGCACTATAACCGCAATCAGTTCCTTTCACCCGACTTTAAAATATACCTACGAAATCTCCGACAATTCTTTTTTCCTTTTTAGACATCAAAGTTTCAATTAAACGGCAACGATTTATGCACTAACGTGTATTACAAACCTACAAACTCACATAGTTACTTGTTGTATTCATCTGCGCATCCATCTCATGTCGAGAATTCCATTCCCTTTTCTCAGTTTCTAAGACTTCCTCGTTTATATAGTGATGACTCGAATTTTTCCGACAAATCACAGTCAATGTGGCAGAATTCGAAAAACGTGGTTACCCTGTTTCTGTCGTTCAAGCGGGTCACCACCGTGCCCAATTTATTGAATGACAGTCAGTACTACAAACGTCACAGAAGGAAAATTGCGACCGCATTTAATTCACTCTCACATTTCAGCCTCATAACCACGCAGTTAAATCCACGATTCTTAAAGAATTTAATTTACCCCGAAACGATCCAGAGAATGGCACTATCTTTCCGCAACCTTTACTCATTTCATTCCGAAAAAGACAAAAACGGAGGAAACTTTTTGGTCAGAAGTTCATTTCAAACTATTAAAAATGACCAACCCGGAACTTTTAAATGCGCTCGCGCACGATGCAAAACTTGTCCTTTCATTCACAACGCCGAGAAAATATCGGGACCCAAACGATCTATTGAGATTACT